ACATATGTCAACTGATCGCCATCAATTGAGTAGAACGTTTAAAATTTTTTATTACATTGATATAAACTTATATGACAACATTTATTAGCATTTAAATACAAATTGTTATCATTACACCAAGTACTTAAATTGTTTAAATCGTCCTGGATTAAACTAATATCCTCTAACGATGTTATATGCCTGAAAAGCTTTAAATCATCGGCAAACATTAAAAAGTCACAGTTTTGGAAACATCTTGCAATATCGTTAACAAATATATTATACAATAAAGGTGAGCAATGAGCGCTCTGTAGTACACCAGAAGATACATATGCTGCGTTTGAGAATCCACATCGGATGCATCTGAGATGTAAAAAATCTTTGATCACGTGATTCAGTATACGTAAATGTAATGGGACAGATGTGTCCGATGTGGATAAAAAAACGCTCGAGATGTAAAAAATGCATCCGATGTGGATTCTCAAACGCAGCATTAGATTGTATTTGATTTAAAACATCCTATTCTTACCTGTTGCATGCGACCAGTTAAAAAACTCTTGAACCAATCTAAAGATTGATCCGAAAAACCAAACATTTTTAATTTTTTCAATAGAATGTTATGATCTACTCTATCGAATGCTTTGGAGAAGTCCGTATAAATCGCCATCTGCCATTTCTTTTCCAAAACATTTAGTATTTTTTGTTGGAAAACAACTAAATTTGTAATAGTTGATTTATTCTGTGAAAAGCCATGTTGATTATCAATTAAACGTTCTTTGCAGTAAAATTTTAACTGGTTACATTAGATTATTGAAAAGTTTTGGCGAAGAAGATTGATTGCATACACTACAATAGTTTGTTATATCTTGTTTATTTCTTGATTTAAATATAGGACGAATAAAGGACTGCTTCCAAAACGTAGGAAAAAATCCAGAATCCAGTGATAATTTAAAAAGAATTTTTATTGGATGTGTTAGTGTATAAATACAATTTTTAAGAAAGTAGTTAGGAATCCCATCCGGGCCGCTGCTCATTTTATTGGGTAAGCCATGATTTCATTAAAATATCTTCCACAGAGATAGAAAAATTAGGCATGGTGAAATTACTATTATTTCCAAATGCACTGAGGTCAGTGAATGGCGATTCAGGTGAATAAACTGTGGAAAAGAATTGAGCAAAACAATTTACAATATGTTCTCCATCTGCTGCTATAATATCTCCGTAATACATTATATCTGGTACTTCAGGACGGACGTTTACTGTTTACATGTTTTCAGAAATATTTTGGATTGCTACGTAAACTATGATCTACCTGATTAATATAAATTGTTATAGCAACTATTAGATACATTTTTGCATGATCTCCTAAGATTTGAAAAGACTTGATAATCCTGTAGAGTAAGAGTATTTAGATATTGTTTATGTGCAACTTTCTTCTGCTGAACTAAAGATCGTAACTCTGCATTAAACCATTTTGGATAGCTGAATGTTTCAAATTTTTTCACCGGCACAAACAAAGATACTGCCATATTTAGTATATTATATATTTCTGCTACTGCTTCATCAATGCTTGATAAGTTTAAATGATTTTTCCAAATGATACTAGCGAAATAGTTATTAAGACCAATATAATCAGCATTTTTAAAGTCGTAGTAGAATTCACTATAACATATTGAATTATTATTGTTCTTGTGTAAAGCAATACTGAAAGTATAACTGATGTGATGATAACTATTTTCAAAAATCGGATCAGATGCTTGAAGTAGCTCTAAGTTACAAAAATTTGAAAAAACTAAATCTAAAAAAGTGTTTCTATTATTAGGAATGTTTATAAATTAAAAAAAAATGTAGGAAAGCATAACTCTGAGCTACCAGCATAGCATGAGAACCTTGAGGGCAATTTACTAATACACCATCTTCACTGTTATCCCATTATGCTTCGGGTAAATTGAAATCGCCAAATATGTAAAACTTCTGCTGATTATTTCTTTGAACAATGTCTTTTACTGTCCTACAATGTTTCTCATACACTACTTCTGAAGATTTAGGAGGAATGTATACTCGCCCAATAATAAATGTTTCATTCCCAATTGAACATAGCAGATAAAGTTGTTCTACCGAATTGTGTAGAGGATTTAACACAGTTACTTTGATATAACCTTTTATAATGATTAATATTCCTGCCCCCCTAGATTTGTCACTGGTTTCACTACATCGATCACTTCTGAAGATTGTATATGCTGGTATTTTAATTTCAGTATCTAAAATATCTTTGGATAACCAACTTTCGACTAGAATTAGTAAATCATAATTTGAACATAGAACGGAAGCTATGAGATCTTGAATTTAAGTACGAATACCTCCTACATTTTGGCAATATATTTGTAATGGGAATGAGATTAGTTTTTTGTGGCCACTTTTTCAATTTTTTTTTTTTTTTTTTTTTTTCGATTTATGGCCTAGGTGTATATACCTAATATGCCAGTCTCAAATTTGTGTTTAAATTCTCAATCATGTGTGTTCTGTGTAGGCTTTGTTACTGTTTCCCAGCGCCACTTTAGGAACAGCACTGTTAATTAGAACCCAACAGTGAATGGTCGAGTGGGGAATCGAAATGCCATTTCGGTATTTAATATCAATATCACTTTCTCCTTTCTCACGCCTTTCCTTTAATCTTTTAACGCCTTATTAATTAATATTAAAATGCGGCCCAAAATTTTCTAGAGTAGTAATCATGCTTTTTCGTTTTCCATATAAAAATGTTACGATCTTTATAATTTCTGCAGGCATGTATCACTCAATATCGAAACTCTTAATTATTTATTTAAATATATAAAAGAGAAATTTAATAAATATGAATTTCAGAAATAATTATTGAGATTAAAAATTATGAAGCTACTTTTGCGACATCTTGTATATCAACTAAACCAGCAAAACATGGTGAACGTGCTGAAAAGTAGAGAATACCAGAGACGTGAACCAAGGCAATCTGATTGTGAAGGACTTAGTTGCCCTCTACAAAAATACAGGGCGAAATGTAACAGGAACTCATAACTTAAACAATGACCATTGCGGACACTCTATAGAGACGACAAAACACATAATATGTATGCATAATTGCATTAATTTTCTGCTGGATGGTGCACCACTTAATTTTGACAGTTACTTTCACAATTTAAGTATTAAATTATTTTTGTCGCATTTTTTATAAAGAATATGAACTTGTTTATTCTGCTACAGGTTAATGTAGAGTATAGACAAGTTGTAGTCATTTTTTCAAAATAAATTATAAAGATAGATCATATGCCGCAACACACATTACACATACATGTGTATTGTGTTGCCTTGAAGTAGTTAATATATAAATAATTTCCGGCATGGTGTCGCTTTCTAAAAGATTTGTCATTTTTGTGGTTGGTACCAATGCGGACTTGCTTATTTAAATTCAAATTTCTTTCCTAAAGCCGAAGTGAAGTAAATTTGTTTATAATATAGAATGTTCTAGTGAAGGTGAAGACTTTATTTATTGCATACCACTGAATATTAATGAAAAAACAAAAAAGTTGTTTCTGATTTATTACCAAAGAAGTCCAAAGAAAAATATAATTATCAACACCAATTATTTATGAACTGGTATAGAACAAACAATGTGAAAAAATATAGCCAAAGTGTTATTTTAACGTATTTATCAGAAAAAAATACAAACCTTCCACGCTTTGGTCAATTCAATATTATGCTAAGCTAAAAGCTACACTTTCGGTTAAAAATGAAGTAGATATTGGAAGTTACAAAAAAGTAACAGTATTTTTAAAAAAACAGTCAGTAGGACATGTTCCTGAAAAATCAAGAATATTGGTAGTGTAATTAATGTTAATTATCTACTGTATGCTGATGACCTTAAAATTTTAGCTTCCATAAATAGTATTGCTGACTGCGAGCGACTTTCTGAAAATCTAAAACAAGTTAATGAATGGTGCCATAGAAATAATTTAAAATTGAACCCAGCCAAGTGCAATGTAATGTCGTACTCCTTAAAGTCAGATCCAACTTTTTATCAGTATATTGTTGATGAAATTCCCTTAAACAGACCAAAAAACTTCGCCGATTTAGGAGTCCTATTTGATTCAGCACTTTCTTTTACTGACCATGTCGATAGTATTGCATCCTCATCTAATCGTACATATGGATTCATAATCAGAAACAGTCGCGATTTTAAGAAAGTAGATACCATAAAATGTCTGTATTATGCTTTTGTTCGATCCAAGCTTGAATACGCGTCACTTATATGGAGTCCATTGTATCAAGTACACATTGGTCGTTTGGAAGGAATTCAGAGACGATTCCTAAAATACTTAAGTTTTAGACATGATCTAGTTTATCCACCCATTGGCACCCCACACGACGCCTTATTAAATAAACATGGATTTTCAAGTCTCGATATAAGGCGAAAATATTTTTCTGTAATTATGCTGCATAAGGTCATAAGCAATCAAATAAACTGCGAATATCTATTACATATGCTTAATTTAAAAGTTTCACGTCTAGCCTCAAGATACACTGACTCATTTTACTTACCAACACCTCGTACTAATATTTTAATGAACTCACCGTTGTATAATATGTGTAATAATTATAATCAGATAAGTCAGGAATTGGATATATTCCACATTAGTATTTAGGATATCAAAAGGCATTATTTAGGATAACCATCATTGTATTTTATTTCCTGTAATATTTTTAATTTTTGTACGTTTCGTCTAAATATTTTTGTCATATTTTCCTATTCTGTAATTGGGTATTACTTGTAGAATAGTGTATTTAATAAATATGTAATCAAGAAAAAGAAAATTAGATTGATGTTTCAATATGCAAAAAATACTTTACTTTATAAATAACCTTAATTTGTTCAATGTTCAATGTAATATTTTGATAATTTGAATTTTAAAATATTCTTCTTCTTATCACTTATTTTACAAACACCTTAAATCGGCCTATATTTTTAAAAATGAAACACTTTGCAGGTTTTAGATTCTGGTGTGATGACATCTCTGGACGATTTTACAAGAGTATGCCAACCAAAGCTGATTGTAATCGACTTATTTACCGATCAAATTGTTCGTACTATATACTTACCCAATGGCGTATTAAGACCAGCCTCGCTTATGACAAATTTGGTAATAGATGAGAGCATTCAAGGTCGCTGCGATTCGGCGTTCGTTTATATGTCAGATACTGCTGCTCCAGGTAAAGTTAAAATTATTGATCTATAGTAACAATTAATTTATAGCATTTGTATATTTTAGTCGACTATGTTTATTTAGTTAATACAGTATATGAGCGCTAAAGGCCGTAACGACACATGCGGCTTCTAATATTTCCAATCATCTTCATCCACTTATTTTTATCGATGACAATTTCTTTTCACCTTCTATAAGTCATTTTTATACGCTTCGATTTGCTTCTTCTTCTTCTTCTTTTTCTTCTTCTTCTTTTTCTTTTCTTCTTCTTCTTCTTCTTCTTCTTCTTCTTCTTCTTCTTCTCTTCGGCCCATCTCTGACGTCTCATTCTCCCTTCATGCTTTAACCAACCTTTTTACTCTATTTGGCTGATCCTTACTTAGCCATATTTTTGGTTCCTCCTCCATCAATTCACTTCGATTCTCTTTTTTCCAAAAACTTTTCTCAGGAAACGTCGTTTCCAGATATACAACTTGTTTTCTAGGTTCCTATTCATAATCCAACATTCACTTTCATACAATACTGTAAGTTGTATTACTGTTCGATATAATCTTTGTTTTGCTGTCTTCGAGACTTTCTTCGACTTCAGTAATTTTTACAGAGCTATGATTGCTCTACATATTCTCTCGCCATTATTTTCTCAATTTCTTCTTCTTTACTGGTAACTATTACTCTCAGATATTTTTTATTTTTTTAAAGAGATACTCCTTGCCCGTTTTAATCTAAAATTTTTCAAAATATTCTTCTATTTCTATATTTTGTCTTATTCTCGTTAAGACTTGCTGCTGTAGATCAGTCATCGCTGAGGACCATGCTCCTGATGCCAAAAACTTAGCCCTGATCAGTCCCTTTGTTACAACAAACTAGTCGTGTGTAACAATTAATTTCCAATTAAATCCAGAATATTTATTTTAGTAAAACTACAACCTACTAATATTAATGATTATTTTTAAATCATGAAAATAATCCCTGAGTTTGAATTATCACCCTTACGAGAACGAGATATTTTTGTAGTAAATTTTTATCATTAGTCTGTCTTTCTATCTACATATATGACTTTTAATTTTTAGGAATTGTAGTATATGACGGTATCAGAGATCAAGCATGGAGATTTACCCATCCAACGATGTTCCCAGATCCAAATTTTTCTGACTACAATATTAATGGAGAAGCTTTTACCCTCATGGATGGAGTTGTAGGCATAAGTCACTCCCCTAAATTAGGAGTAGTGTATTATCAACCACTTGCCACTGATAGGTAATATATTAACCAAATTAAAATGTTGGTTTAAAAACAATATTTATTTTAATATACTTTTATTTTTAGAATATTTAGTATACCTACAGCAACCTTGTCAAAAGGACCTCCTGGTGAATTTGAAAGACTTCCAATACAATTCGTTGGTAAAAAATCTTCACAAGGATTAGGACTTAGTCTTAACCTTTTGGATGAAACGCTGTACTTCAGCCCTTTAACAGAAACATCAGTGGCATCTTGGAATCCACTTACCAATCAGCAAAAGTAAGGAAATTCAAAATCCAGCTAGTATATTAAAATGAATTAATTCCTATAAAAACTTAAACTTTAACTTATACATTATACAGTTTATGTCTAATTCTTATTATGTAATTTAGTTATTTTGATTTTGGAGAGCAATTTAGTCTCGGCTATTAATTTGGAAATTCCAAAAGGTTTTTATTTGACCGGTGAGGAGAGAGCATTTTTAATTTTTTTTTGTGCAGCAATTAATTTATTTTCCTTATCAGTAAAAAAGTTAATTGGCTTATCAGAGAACTCAGAATGGAGTGTGTTTAAATGCCGTTTCAACTTTGACGATTTCATAGGTACTTTCGTTTGAAAGTTGCTCATTGCAAATAACACATAGCGGCAAATTATTTTAACTGCGCCCGGCAATGAACCCTAAGCGTAAATATTCGTCACATTTTTTGCAAGTTCAATTAGCTTTACGCTTGTTATTTTGGCGCTGTATATAATTTCTGAACAATTAAATTAATGGCTTGTCTTGTAACCACTGTAGGTATATAATTAATTGAAATTTGTAGAAAACCTGAAAAACAAAAGGCTTTTAGAATACAATAATAGGAACATAAATAAACAAAGTAATTTCTTACAAATATGGAAATATCTTACATAAAATCACGAATTTAAAAAAGTTTTCCAGATACTCAAAATTTGTTAGTGTAGGTTCAAGTAAATAAAATAAAAATTAAAAATATTTCGCCAAGATGTAGGCAACACGTATTAAGTATTCAAAAGGTAGAATTTTCTATCTCCTCTTAAAAGACACTCAGAAAGTTGCACAGTGCGACCATTCTCAGACCATTATCCGTATAGGGGAAGGTGGTACAATATCGACACCCTGGGGAATACCGTCACCCCCTCTCCTCGAAAACTATCAACTAGAGAACAGCCCTGCTTATTGCCAAATGATACTCGCGTATCGGGGACAACACTAATTATTTTTAATTGCTGTGGTGGGAGGTGTTTGTGTGAATGTCTTGTTTGTTTTCATTTACGCGGTGACTAGCAGTAATATTGTATAAACCTTAGAAGCAAATTTCACAAAAATAAATAATAATGCCGTGACAACAAGAAGACGAAGCAATGACTTCTCATAGGGTGGCGGCTTCGCCGCCACCATAAAATTTAATTCCATACCTGGTTACGCCGACCGGCATAAACACCAACGGCCTGGACACAGCTCACCTACTCTGTCAAAAGGAGACCGATGTACAAATAAAACGAGTACTACATGCGCACTACAAATCATTAGTGTTGTCCCTGATACGCGAGTCCGAACGATAGCAACTGTATTAAAATACGTAGTCAGTAGAGTATTTGTAGTTGCAGAAGCTTGTTTGGCAATTGCGAGTTAAAACGTGATTTTTCGTAATCTTAATAATTTGTCTATATTTAAGTCGCGGTAAGTACATTAGTATAAAAAGTTTTCTAATACTTCGAAAGTACGTTTTATGAGGGACAATTTGATATTATACAATTAAATAATTCTCAAGTTGTCAACCAAATATAGCCAAATATAGCCTATGTCCGATCGGAGCAATGCCGGCTTTTACTAATGGGAAATGTCGCCACATGGCGATATTTCCCCATCAAAATATTTTGTTAAAAGTTCATATTACATTTTGTGGATTATTTTCAGATGGTGCGATTTCGAATTTGAACTACAGGAAGAGTTCAATGGACTGAAGAAAAATTGAAAGAAGCTATTGAAGCAGTTCAAAATAGAGATTCATTGAAGAAGACATTCCTCGAACAACTTTGCGTGACAGAATAAAATCTGGTAATTCGACCAAACCCTCATTAGGTCGTAAACCTATATTTTCTCCTGAACAAGAGAAAAAATATCGGATCACGTGGTATGGTTAGCAAAAATGTTTTATGGAATTTCCGCAACTGAATTGAGACGGTTAGCTTTCGATGTCGCTGAAAAAAAAATGTGAAGCATGGTTTTAATAAAGAAAGTAAAATGGCTGGATCAGATTGGTTAAGGTGCTTCCTTAAAAGAGATAAAATTAGTTTCAGAAACCTAGCCTTAGCAGGGCAATGGCTTTTAATAAGGACGAAGTTGACATTTTCTATAAAATCTACATTTTTGACTAAGTATAAATTTTCTGCGAACAGAATATACAATATGGATGAGACAGGATTTTCATCGGTTCAAAAGCCAGGAAAAATTCTAGCACTTCGAGGCCAGAAACAGATTGGGGGAATAACAAGCTGGGAAAGAGAAAAAATATAACAGTTATCTCTGCAATGAGTGCTGCAGGTAATTACATACCACCGACATTTATTTTCCCCAGAAAACGAATGACACCTCTATTAGAAAAAGATGGACCTGCCGGAGCAATTTATAAATGCTCGCACAATGGTTGGTCCAACGAAGAAATTTTTTTTCAGTGGCTTCAACATTTTAAAAATGTTGTCAAACCTACAGAGGACGACCCATTGCTGTTGGTATTGGATAACCACGGAACCCACATTACTTTAGATAGTTACACATTTTGTAAGGAAAACAACATTTATGTTATATCAATACCGCCCCATACGTCCCACAGATTGCAACCCTTGGACTTGTCATTTTATAGTTATTTAAAAAATGCTTTTAACAAGGAGTGTGATTATTTTATGAAAACTAATTTCTACCAGAAAATTACACCCTATGACATTGCTTCAATCTTCAACAAAGCATACATGAGAACTGCTACAATAGAAAAGGGTGTGTCAGGATTTAATGCTTCGGGAATTTATCCTTTTCAGCCAAATAAATTCACCAAAGACGATTTTGCATTAGCTTACGCTATTGATCGACCAATAGTTGTTGAGGATCAACATGTGCAGGATGAAAATGTTCCACCATTAGTAGTGTCTGGGCCTTCTAAAATATGCATAAATCCTCATATCAATCTACAGCCATCTACATCAGCTTTCCAGTCCAGCATAGCAGAATGGTCACTACGGCCATTAACCGAAATAGATCGCTCTAAAACTAACAAGAATAATTCTCGCAAACAACACTCGATTATCATGACAGCTACTACCATGAAGCGAATTCTTGAGGAAGCCACAGTGAAGAGAGAACAAAATAAAAAAGAAAGTTGAATCAATCAACCAAAAGATAGTTGAAGAAAAGAAGAAGAAAGAAGAAAAAAGCAAAAATAAAACAGAGAGAAAAAGTGCGAGTGTCGATAAAAGGAAAGCAACCACTGTTAAAAAAACTGCTAAACAAGGGTTATAAACGGCAAATTCATTTTGATTCTTCTTCTTCTTCTTCTTCCGAAAATATCCTGTGTGATGATAATGAAGATAACGATGCAATTGATCCGTTTGCTGCTGATACATGCATTATTTGTGGGGAATTCGGTGCAAATGAACTTTGGTATCGTTGTGTTCGATGCTCAAAGTAGGCTCATTCAGAGTGTAGTGGTTATGACACTGCTGAAAATTATATTTGCGAATTTCGTTCTTAGATATTAGTATATATTCAATATACTTACCTACTGTATTTTATTACTTTAATAAACAACTCTTTTTGCTCATTTGTATAATTTCTTTAAAAATATAAAATTTCCTTAATTAGCAATGTTTAAAATGCTTTACATATTATGGTGATATTACCCCAGGCTATGGCGAAAATACCCCAGTACCAGTGGCAAATCCGTCACTTTGCTTACTAGTACAATATTTTTAATAACAGTGGCAAAAATCATTATTAGAAAATTTTAATAATACAGTTGTCTAGGTAAATGATATAGTAATGCAATGTAACGCTAAAATGTAGATATTTACTATACCACTAAGCATCAGATAAATTATTTCCTTAAGGTGGGCGCCATTACCCCACCTTCCCCTAGTAAGATGAAATTAAAGTATGTGATGACACTTGCTGCGTTTACAAAGAAAGCCACAATGGGGTCTGTTCTGTAACAATTCCTTTATATTTAACGGCCTTTAAAAATATCGGCGACCTTTAAAAATATGTTTGTATTCGTTAATTTACTTGTCATTATTTAAACAGATTTCTTTAAGATAGTCCTCTAATGTATCTTAAAAATCCGTTTAAATAATGACAGAAGTAAAGAAGAAAATATTTTTAAAGGCCGTTAAATATAAAGGAATTGTTACAGAATAGACCCCTTTATATCTCAAAATTAAAAAAAATAATTTTAATACTATATTTGAATTTGAATTTAATTTAATTATTATTACAGATTATTGGCATATGATCCAGAAAAGCTGCAGTTCCCGTCAGAACTACGATGGAAAAGTGACGGTTACTTATGGTTGCTGAGTACCAAATTCCAAAAATTCTTTTTGAGAAATGTGTCGCCGCATGAAGTCAATTTAAGGATAATTCGAATACCTCTTAGGGGTAGATCGAAGAGTGCAGTGACTAATAATCTTTTTATTTAAATTCTGTTTACGGTAAATATTAGGAAAATGGATAGATGCAAGTTTCAACAAATTATTTTAAAACTGTGTGGATACTGAAACTGTTATACTTTAAGTTACCTAATGTCTGTTTTGACCAGTTACCAATAGTTTTAATCTTTTTTTTTAAGTTTGGCTATAATTTTCATCACTGTGGGTATTTTCTTAAACAAAATTACTTTCAATTTCAAGCGGTATGAATTTCATATAAGTGCGTGCATATCAAATCTACTTAAATACAAATCCAATCGTGCCGTAAAATAGCCTCAGCTTATTTTCTATATCTTCGTGTAGAATTATTTTTTTTGCCTGTGGGACACAATAATAAGCATACACTAGGGATGTTTATATTTAAAATGTTTATATATTTATAAGAAGTGAACCACAAAATGTTTTTTCTAAAGTAGGCCTTGGAAAAAATGACGTATGTCGTGCATACAATTCTTCTTTTTAAGTGTCTGTTTGGATTTAATTAGGCATTCCAAACAAAATGGCTACCATGGGGTTTGACAGGTTATGATATGGCAAATCTGTAGGCCTGGTGATTTGATAGGGTCAATGAAATAGATAGTTATATAGATTAATTATTTATGGTTTTCAAAATATACATAAGCTTATGCCTTGAAGTAAAAATGTAGATAATTATTATTTACTATATTCAAAGGCTGAAAATTGGTTTGTATACACATTTTTGCTAAAACGATTCTGATTAACGAGCACTTGCAAGGAAATATGGCCACTCGCAAACGAAACGCTTTGAGCAATCTATACTATATATGTATCATTGACCCTGTCAATAACAACAGGCCCACAGGGTTACCATATGTAACTGTCAGTTCCCACTTGTCCGCATTTTGGCAGGTCTTTGGAATGCCTAATTCAGAGCAGCCCATAGTTATCAGTGATATGACTCTCATCTCGGTCTTTGTCGGTTATGGCCTACTTTAAAAACATTTTTTTATCGATCACTCTTTATTGGGAGTGATCCATAAGCAAGGTTTCTAAAGTATGCCTTGGAAAATTTATGTATGTCGAGCGAACGATTCTTCTTCTTTTTAATTGTTCGTTTGAATTGAATTCAAAACAGATCGTGTTTTTATCACTGACATGACCTGTATCTCTATCTTTGTCGGTCATGGCCTACTTTAGAACCATTTTTTGTTGATCACACTCAGGGCTGGTATATCTAAGGGGGGTCGCGACATAGGAGTCCATTTTGGACGCCATTTTTTTCGAAATAGTAGTCACATAGTAGTCGCCATTGATCTGGCAACGTGGCAACTTGTAGCCGCCAGGTTTACCAATATAAGAAAAAAAATTAATGTCATTTCTTAAATGACATTTCCATTATAAAATGCACATATTTTTTAGGATAAAATATTTCAATTTAATAAATTATTAATCTCAGATGTACATAAAATACGTCTGGCAAAGTAGATCACTTTCAATTTTGTGATGTTTTAGTTTTGTTTATTTTAAAAGGTAATTAAAGAGATAAAGACAATTTTCTTATAGATGATGCATAACAAATTATTGCTCCCATTTTTAGAGCTCCAGTCCCTTAAGTCTATTTATTTTAGGTCTTTTTAAATTGTTGGTAGGTATTATTCACTTCATTTGTATGTTTTTAGTTAATTTAAATAATTTTGTGTAATATCTTGCGATTTGTTTTCTATACATTTTAGCATGTATTTGTTGTCTACATCTTACAAAGGATGGATTTGAAATACCTTTACAACAGAGGTACTTTCTTAAAACTGGCCGAAATTTGAAACTGAATACAGTTCTTAGAGAAAATCTCCAGTAAAAAATGTCTGCATGCAGAATAACAGTAGCATAGATTAACAAAGCTGACAAAAGAGTTGGACAAACCTTTGTCTAGCTTTCTTAATATTTCAGGACAATAGTGTTAACAGCAGACTACAACAAAAACATCCAAAGTTTAGTAATCAAGCAAAATATTCCGGTATCTATATTTTTATTCAAAACTTTTGTGCTTCTACTCCAATACTAACCATATAGAAGCATATGCATTTTATAGTATTTGCAAGATTCGGATCAAATGTACCCACAATTTATAAAGATCATTAAACTAAAATAAAACATTTCAAATAACACCTGCTTTTATGTTAAATATGTTTTTATTAAATACATAAATTAGTCTCAACCACACATTTTTTTTTGTTTTTACTTCTAGTGTAAAAGTGACTACTAATTCAGTCTTTCAAGTTTATTATTTATAGAGACCAGCTACTACAAAATATCTTATTGATGATAACTAATTTCTCTTTAATAATGGTTTTGCATTTATTAACATTTTACAGCACTTTGTTTATATGAAACCTCTATTTAACTCTTAATTAAATCACATTTAAATCAAGTAATTACAATTTCATATTCAACTTATGTATCCTTATTAGAACTTGGTCACTTTTTTTTACTTTGAATCTTTTGACTGTGGTATAGAGAAAGTAAAAGTTGAAAAGTCTTTTGGTAGGTAGAGAGGGGGTAAACGTCAAACCACGTCGGGCGGCTCCGAGAATTTCACAGTAATGTTTACCTGCCAGTGTCGTTTCATAGAATAAGTAATTTTAAATTGTTATCAGCGAAACCGGACAATCGCATGTATTTATGGATTATAAATAATTACTAAACATGTATTATAATATTCAAATTATAATTTTACAAAATTTCAACAGCTATTCACAATTTATTAAACTATTCACTCGAAATTGTTATTAACATCTATAAAATAATTTTGTACGCTAATGTATCGCGTCCACTTCGGTGAGATCCGCTGCCAACCTGTCAATTTGTGTGTATAAAGTGGGAGAACTGGCAAAAGCATTTCCAACTTTTACTTCTGTTCTAACAGTCCATTCACCAAACCACAAAGTCACTTAAAAATGTTGAAAAAGAATGTCATAAAGGTAAAATTCCTTCTTCTATCATGTTTTTTATGCAATTTTAGGTTGTAAACGTTTTGTCCAACACCTTTTTTACAATTTATCCCAAGCAACACTATGAAAGATTTAAATCCTGGATTTACAGCATTCAGTTTTGAGATGAGTGCAATCACAATGTAGTTTAAGAGATAATTTTCACATGAACACTTATTTACCACAACACAAACGCATGTACCTATTCATGTAACATTAAAAAAAAGTGGAAACAAATTGCATAATTTGGTATATAAAAAAGTACAAAATGTTTTTAGTTTTAATTCGACATTGGACTACGAGGAAAACAGTGGTTCATTCCACTTGTACCATACTGACATTATTATGCACGATGCTCGTTCAAACGAACGTCAGAAAAGTGTTGCCAACTTAAGCTGACTACTATTTCCCCCCTAGCCTCAGTCACCCCCTCATCCATTTACTGGGTCTATGTCGCGACCCCCTTAGATATACCAGCCCTGGATCACACTTTAGTTTATTGAGTATATTTGTTCTAAAATTTGTTAAGATATTTCGCGAAATTTTGAAAACTAGTGATTTATTAGATTAAAAAGTATGACTTAGTATTATAGATCTAACAAAAGGTTGGAAACAGCTAACATTACAAATGTAAAAATGGTGGTGCACGGTTGAATTCAGATAAACAAAAAAAAATAGATAGGTAACGCGTGTTTAACATGAGCTTTGTTTATAAGCTTTATATGAAGCCAATATCGTCAGTGTAAATTGCAAAGTGCCTAACTTCACTTTTTCTGAAATGCTGATTATAGCTCCATCTAGTAATACCTACAATGGTATATCTTTCAGAGAAAAGACATGTCCTATTTTTGTATATTTATCGGCTGAGAAATGCCTGTTTTATTATTGTTCCTGAGCTACAATTTGGAAGTTTGGTACCCCAGTGGGGTATCAAATAGTTTTTCATCAGAATTGTTTTTCATAAAATTTCCATTAAACAAAAAATATATTTTGCTATTTTTACCCTAATGTAATATACAAAATTTATTAAAAAATGCAATAACTGTTCTAACTTAACTGTGGTAGCAATCTGGATTCGTGTGTAAAGTGTGCAATACAATAATAATAAAACTAGGGATAGAACTTAATAGGATAGGAAATAGAGCAGATTTACCTGTGAAAAATTACAAAAAAGTTTAAAAATTAGTATGTTGGTCCAATTCGATGTCCTGATGATCCCCTTTTAATTGCTCCTAGGCCTCGTCCTGGCCTAGCTGGCTTGGTGTTTTTAGGGGTGTTTTTATGAAAAAGTCTAGTCTGAAATGAAAAATTCATGTCTAGTTTCATCTAGCGGATTTCTGTGACAAAAAAACCCGCGAGAGTACTGCCCTAGTACTTATAGTTTACCCTCTAGAGCAGCGTTACTAGTTAGAAGTCAGTAAGAGGAAGGAGGATATGATTTTAAATGGAGGACTTTTTTTAGCAACTAAGAGAGAAAGGAGGATATGATTTTGTTTGGAGGACCTTCTTTTTTAGAAGTCACTAAGAGAGGAAGAAGAATATGATTTTGTTCGGAGGACCTTTTTTAGAAGTCACCAAGAGGAATGAGGATATGATTTTGATTTTTTTGTGGGGGCTCCGCGAACAAGGACGAGAGACCTGGCTCGAGTCCTGTTTTTTTAGAGTCACTAAGAGGAAGGACGATATGGTTTTAGAAATGTGTTTAGGGCTCCGTCAAATATTTCGCTTCTCAAAAAGGTTTCGTCACCAAAAAAGTTTGAGAACCACTGCTCTAGAGCATCCTGAAGAGAGACATGTCTTTGGAGATCATGATCCCATGTTCTGCACTGCTTTCATTTTGTCTCTCTCATCTGTGGAAGCCTGCAAAAAGTGACTTGTAAACAAAATTGAAATCAACGCAAACTCGAAAAAAGCAACTCTTTTTCACTTCAGTTTTGAGAAAATAAATTACCTGCGTATTTGTTTCTTTGTCCAAAATAGAAGCTTCTTCCAATGTGTTTCTGGATTTTTATTATTTTTCTGGCATTTCTAGTATCCATATTTTCTTCTTTAAAATTTTTGAAGAACCAGGTAACACGTTTGATTCCATTTCATTTGTTGACAACCATTCTGGGTCAACATCACTATCTCCCGACTGGGTTTCCATTGCGGCTCTGATAACATTGCTTTCAGTTTCATCAGCATTCATAATGAAATCATAAATGTGATCAACTTCAACAACACCTATTTCTAGGTTTTAAATTTAAATTTCCCTTGCTTCAAGATTTGTCGGAAAACTTCTTAAAAAATAAGTGATTAATATTTAATTATTAACTGTTTCAATGATATAACGAGTTTACCTTTTAATCTTATATAATTGTATACAAATTTAATTAATTAGATAATGTTCCGAAACTAATATTTTCTTAAATATAAAAGTATCACAATAGTAACGCCTACAGCATTTTTTACTTCTATGAAACAAAAGGAAACTACCCCAAATGTATGTCTTAGAGATAACAAAATGTGTAATAGTAGCTTTTACATTTAATATTAATAAAATTATTTTAAAAACACACCAGAAACTGTAAATAGTGTAAAACCAACGGGAATACAAAAGCAGAAGAATTTTACA